AGGCAGTGGTTCAAGAGGAGGACAAATAATAGTTGAAGCTTTAGAAAAACTAGGTTACACCAACGAGGAACACACAACCTCTAGACATTGCCAGGAAATGAACATACCTACACTCACCTGAAGCAGACTAAACTCTTGACCGAAGAAGAAGCCAGACTAAAACCAGAACCCTATAAGATAAAAATAAAAGCGAGCAACATCATAGTATAACCTTTGATTCGTTACTTCCCAAAGAACTTTTGCATTGTTGAAGACTCTTGCCTATTTGAGAAGAGAAGACTAGAAGATTAGATCGTCCAAGAGCTCATCGCCTAGGGTTTCCCTAGGGCCGGCTCTCTCTCCTCAGCTCTTGACTTGTTTAAGCATTTATGTTGTTAAAACCGGATCGAGAGGTGACCCAGATAAATTATCGGGTCAGGTGTCAACCCAGATTCTGGAGGGTCAGCTCGGTCAACGCAACTCAACCCGATCAACGGTGGTTCAACGTCGGTTAATAATATAATCAAATCATTGATGACAATTGTGATGTTATAGATGCATTATTTTTAATATTTGATGATTATATAATCATTTAATAGTGCTAATTATTTCCTAAAATAGGAATGATAACCTTTAGTTGGGACACATTTCTAAAAAAGGAAAGTGAGAACTTTAAACTGAGACGGAAGGAGTAAAAAGTAATTAAACAAGAAAAATTCAGATAGTCACACAAGGAGACATTTCAAGTCTATATTATGGACTTTCTTTCATACATTGTGTTAAGTACATCCATAGTCTAACTCTATTTAGGAATTTCTTTTTAAATTTTTCTTTACAATTGCATCTTTGCACACATGTAATATAAATTGGCCTTCATTTTATTTTATACATACATGTGCATTTTAAACTTAAACTAAGTCTAGTTACATAAGATTGATGATGTGATTTGCTATTGTAATTCGCCCCCCTAAAAAATTCAGAATACACCACTATGTGCAATCACATTTAAAAGTTATGTAATGCTATGATCTTACCCCTCTAAAATCTATACTATAGGAAGTGCTACAAGAAAACTCTGGTCAAATTTTGACTTAAATTCATTAATAAAATTTCGAGTCTCACAGCTTTGGCACATATTTGGTACAAGTGTAGAACAGATTTGGCATGCATGGACTTGATACGAATGTGACATGGAGCGTCCATCCGAGACACTCTCTCACATAAAACAGGTGCAATTTCCCTTGCCATAACTTCATAGGAATGTTAAGCAGAAACTGTGGTTTCAATTCATTTTTCTTTGTTCCAAAAAGGTGGAATCTCCCACCCCAGGAGCCCCCACCCCGATCCGACAGGATGGTGGGGAGGTTAGTCACGGTGACTCAGTCAGCAGAATGGCGGTAGGCCCATACACCCGTGCGCACCAGAGGCCCAGCCTTATTTCAGGTTCTGTGACCTCCACCCGGTCGTTGCGGGGATTTGAACCTTGGTCCATTGTTCCAAATCTCCCACCACTCGACCAACTGAGCTACCCGTGCGAGTTCAATTCATTTTTCTTTATAATCTTAATATTAACTCTTTACCAACTTAATATTAATCACATAATTTCACTTTTCCTAATAGTGAGACAAGTTCTTGTTCCAACCGGATCAACCATAGAATAATAATAAACATATAGTTGTATACAAAATTAAAATAAAAGGTAGTTATTTCATAAATATATTGTATTTTTCTTTTTAGGTTATTGGGATTGGAATTTTATTGGGGGTTTTCGGGTTTGTCAGGTTTTTCGGGTCGGTCAGGTTTTTCGGGTCGGTCTGGTTTTTCCAGTTTTTTTACCACTTCCGGGTTAATAATAATCGAATCGGGTTTTAGTCTGGGTCACCGGTTTCTAGGTCAACCCGGCTAGTCCTGGTCGGTTTTTTAAACATAGGTTCCAACCTTCGCGGGATAGAAGAATATAAATGTGTTTTTACTGCCTAGAATTTTTTAATAATGATATAACAAAGTGTTTTTCAACAATTTTTTAACAGTCTTTCGAATAGAATTTTATGCTAAAAAATTGTGGACATAATTTACATTTAGTGAAGAACAATCTCACAAAATTTCATCAAAACGTCCATCTGAATACACCTCAAATGGCGGCGGTCGACCGGAGGGTTTTGTCCGGATAGATCTTTTCTGGCATAGATATATACTTAGATCCCTGAAGACTCACAATTAAATTAATATTTTAAGCATAGATTAAACATTGACACTTGATTACCCAAATTAAAGTCAGAGGAAATTACCAAAATACGGGGTTTTCCCGTCTGACAATCCAAATTACGGGACTTGCAATTAGGTTACCAAATTACGGGAGTCGGATTTGGCAAATCCGACTAGGGAGGTCTTCCAAATTACAGAGTACCTAGTCGGAATTGTGGAATCCGACTAGGAGGTTTGAAATTTTTGTTTCCATTATTTGTTTGATCCCAATGAATTAAAAAAAAATAAAAATAAATAAAACCTAGTCGGAACTGTGTAATCCGACTAGGGGTGTTTGAATTTTTTTAATGCTTAATAATATGTAATCAAAAGAAATAAAAAATAAAAATTAAATAAAAACAAAAACAAAAACTGTCGGATAGCCCACATCCGACTAGGGATGTTGTTTAAAAAATTTATATTTGAAAATGCATATATGTTGTTTTATTTTAAGAAATTTTATAAATTAAATTTTATAAATTAAATTTTATAAATTAAATTGTTATTTTAAGAAATTTTATATTCGAGATAAATTTTGTTTTATGTAAACCATAACGTTAAAAGTATTTATTAGATAAAATTGATAATCAGATAAAATTTAATTAGATAAGTTCAATTAGATAAAATGAATCAGATAAAATTTATCATATATAATTCAATCAAAATTCAATATTCTATCCAACCATATCTGTACAAAAATAAAGTGACCCAAAATTCAATACTTTATGCGCCGGATTATAAAACCTCCAATTTGACCCAATAAGGCACAATCATTCAAATTTTATGCAATCAGCCTATATCATGAACACGGGTTGTGAAATTGACCACGAGTTCCTTAATATAGAGATAACAATTTAATATTAACACTCGTGATTCACATTTTTTAGATCCGAATCATAAAAACCCCAATTCGACCTGGTAAGGATACAATCTTCTGAAATGCAATTAGCATATATCATGAACACGAATTGTGAAATTGACCACGAGTTACTTAATATAAAGATGAAATTTTAATATTCACATTTGTGATTCACATTTTTTAGACCCGGATCATAAAAACCCCTATTCGACCCATTAGGGATACAATCATTTGAAATGTAATCAGCTATATCATGATCACGAGTTGTAAAATTGACAATAATTTACTTAACATATAGATGGAATTTTAATATCCATACTTGTGATTCACATTTTTTAGACCCAGATCATAAACCTCCAATTTGACCCAATAAGGGCACAATCATTCGAATTTTATGCAATCAACCTATATCATGAACACGAGTTGTGAAATTGACCACGAGTTCCTTAATATATAGATGACAATTTAATATTAACACTTGAGATTCACATTTTTAGACCCGGATCATAAAAACCTTAAATGGTAACCTTCTAGCGGGACGGAGGGAGTAATAATTAAGTCTCCTTCTCAACCATTCATTTTTGAAAATAATGATACTCCATATATACCAACTCCCAACTATTCATAATTTTACAAGTCAGTAAAATTTATTCCCTCCGTCTCATTGGACCAACTTTCTTTTTCTGTTTGTCCCAAAAAAAATTATCACTTTCCTTCTAATGAAAAACATATATGTTCATTTTCTTTCTCCACTACACAAACGTCAATCACACAATTTTTACTATTCTAATTTCACACCCAACAATAACTTGACAAAGTTAAGTAAGACGGAGTTAGTATAATTTTTTATACAAGACCGTAAAAGTTATATCGATTTAAAATTTTAAGGTTTGAAATTTACATTTTAAAAAATATATGCAATATTGGTATCATATGAAAGATAGTAAAAATTTATGCATTTTAATATTTTTTTTGTAAAATTTGAAGTATAAATAAAACGTTATACTACCTCCGTCCCATAATTTACTTCCAAAATAAAGTGGCACGCGGATTAAGAAAGTGAGAATTGTGTGGTAGAGAGTTGTGCAGAGGAGAGACAAATGCCGTGAATCACAAATTCTTTACCAAAAAAGGAAAGGAAAGTTTTTTTTGGGACGGACGAAAAGGGAAAGTTGGAAGTATTTTCAGGGACGGAGGGAGTAACAACTTTGAAAACATTTTTTTTTTAATTTTTGGGTCCCACATTAATTTCTTTCCACACTGTAGCTTGCAACTTGACCCAGGGATGGGTCTAACTTTTTTAAAATATATATATGTGGTATCTGAATTAGCTATTCAAACTAAGGATTTTTATTTTAATTTTTAAAATGCCCCAGTCGGAATTGGCTCTTCCAACAAGAGATTTTTTTTTAATTTTTAAAATGCTCCAGTCGGAATAGGGTATTCCGACAGCAGAAGTCAATTAAATTTTTTCAAACCCTTCCCCTAGTCGGAAGAGGGCAATCCGACTCCCGTATTTTTGGAAACCCTAGTTTTATCCCCGTAATTTGGCACCTCATGTTAACTATTCCCGTATTTTGGGAAATCGCCCTTAAAGTCATGCATGTTCATTACAACAATAGAAAGCAGTTTTTGAATATACTTCATGTTAGAAGCTCTAGTAAGACGCTAAGTAGCTGCTCCAGCTTACCTCCGCCTCCAACCCATCCTGCTTTTTTATGTTTTGGGGTCCACTCTTGTTGTTGACCACTACCTTTGACGCTGTTGATGCGGAAGACGGCGAGGCTTCAAAGAGGTTAGCCATAAAGCTCATTTCCTCATCGTAGGATTCGGCCAAGAGCGGTGGCCACTCACGGTGTTCGTTCTGCCCACTGGCCGGGAATATCGCCGTCGATGAAAACTGCTGATTGGTACCATCATGAGCGTCAATGCTGTTCTGTTGGACAGAACTGGGCGGGGCAAGCGTGAGGGCACCACTGAAGTATTTGCGCTTGATATAGTTTTCTAGAACCATAGGTCTCTTTTTATTCCCGTTATTGATTAGGGAGCCGCCTTCTTTAGGTTTTCTTTTGGTGAACTGCCGCCTTTTGGTTGCGTTCCAGTGGTTCTTGATGAAGTTCTCCGACCGGCCAGGAATACACCTTGCGATCTCTGACCACCGGTTCCCGAGTAGCTCATGTAATGCCACCAGCCGTCTCTCCTCTTCCTCGGTTAATGGGTCTTTCTGCAAATTATTGGTTATTAAAATGAATATAATTAAGAAGTGAAGAAAAATCTACACTCATTTAAAATTACTCTCATTTAAAATATAATAATGGTTATAAGAGTGAAATAAAATTATTGTACCAATTTATAAAGTTTCCTTAAATTACATATCATAACACAAGATATATGTGGAATTATATGGGTAATTTAATATGCGATTATAATATTTATAAAAGAATTACCATTATGATTGATAGATGTAATGAATATTTCGTAAATATGAAATAGTTTATTAATATAATAATAGCTATATAGTTTTTCTTTTCAATTTTTAAATTTTATTACTCTAATACTTTTATGTTATTATTATAAATAAAAAAATGATATTATATTAGGGAATGATAGGGGTACAATAGGAAAAGAGTACATTTGACTCCTTTTTGGTAATATAAATATTATATTCCTATTTTTCCCTTATGAAATTATTTTACTTCTACTTGTCTCAATGTTCCCTCAATAATAATAGTGTTAATTAGCCTAAAAAGTTACGGGGTTTAGAATAAGATTGGCCAAAGAAAACTTTTACATGACGACCAAGTGGTCGAGTTGGTGATGTGCATCCAAGGTTTGAAAGATTTTTTTTTATATAAAATAGGCGAGTTAAGTTAAATTCTTGGCTTTCAAGAAACATAGGTCCGGTCCTAGTTAGAGCAGACCGGCCACCGGTTTATAGCGGTTTTACACTGCTTAGCGGGTTTGCACTCAACTAGTCCAGTTCTAGGGCTAGGGTAACTAGACTAGCTTGTCCGAACCGGTCTAGTTCTTATAACAGAGGGGTTACCTTGAAATATATAATAGAGGGTCAACATATATAATGCTCTTAATTAACCTTAATTGCAAAAGGAGCCACAAAACTAATGATATAAGAAATAATGATAAATAAGGGCGGAACCAGGGTACTAGGCCGTTTTAGGCCGGTACAACGAAATTTTTTTGAAAAAATTTCACACGAAATTTTTCACCATAAAAATGTAAACATTTTTAAAATTTGGACCGGGCCGGGCCAAGATTGGCCCGTCCCTATCTACGCCCCTGATGATATATATATATATATATATGTGTGTGTGTGTGTGTGTGTGTGTGTGTGTGTGTGTGTGTGTGTGACTAAAATGAAGTTGATCAATAAAAATGTGATATTTTTTACCCTTTTTATTATAATTGCACCTTTAATGACTATAATTGTGTTGAGTTGTACATTTTAAAGACCATGACAATATATTTACAGTAATTCTGATTATATTTTTAATCATATATTTTATTTCTATAATATATAAAGAAAAACTTCATCAATTAATTATAAGACAATAAACTAATTTTAATAAAAATACCCAAAAATAAATTATAAAGTCAAATTGAAAGATTAACTTTACTATAAAAAAATGTTTTTTTGTTTGTATAAATTACTATTCAAAATTAGAAATTCATAATTATAAATAACTAATTTAATATTGTTAGTATAAAAAATTGTTTCATAACTTTACTATATACAGAGTACATAGTATTTACGATTCTTCACTAAAGAGGTTAACATATATGTTGCAATGTAAAAACATCATCAGTTTTTTCTATTCTTTGCACAATAAAATTAAATATTTTGTATGATGATAAAATTCTAAGATCACAAAATAGTAAATTTAATTTTATTAAAGTTAAACAAAACCAAAAAGTGTTATTTCAAGAAATGTAACAATGTGTTCGAAATTTTGCAAGATTAAAATTAGTATTTATGAACTTGAAGTACTTCATTTACAAGGGAAAAATAATAAATTTACAATTTAAATTTAAAGAGTTCATATTTTAACACAAAAATAGATCTTTATTTTTAAGTCTTTATTTTTTTATTCAATTTTGAAATTTCAATTTATAATTTATTTTTCTTTTTTTAAATTTATTTTATTTATTTGAAGTCAATTAAGGTAAATTTGCTCCTTTATAGGAACATTAAGGATATTTTTGCACCTCAACATATACTTCATGGGTAAAGTCTCAAGCATGCAGTTATTTTTTTTCATATTACAGATTATTTTTAAATTATACTAATATATTACGGGTTATTTTAAAAAATTAATAAATTCTCAGTTGTCATATTTCATAATTATAATTATTATTTTTACTGATTTTTTGCTTTTCATTATAACATTTCATGTTAAGAAACGAAATACTTTGTACTACGTATGCTTCATATTTAAAATGTAAGAAATATTTTTAAATTTACCTTTAGAAAGGTATTAAGTCAATTTACTCCTCAAATAAAGTACTCTATGATGGCTTTGCACCATTTTCGTTAAAAAACCTTTTCCATGTGCAACAAAAGTTGTGGGTTAGATTCAGATTTGGGTATCACATGAAAATTGATGGAGTGAACTCATCTTCTTCGGACATGATCCCAAGAAGATTTCATGCGACTTGGATTTTATAGAAAGTGCACTTGAATTGATTAATTTTAATTGTGTAAATCAAAACAAGATACATAAAATGGAACGAAGGTAGTAAAAGTTAAATCTATATGTTTAATTTTAGTCTTATCTAATTCAGTCAAAATTGATTTGTATGATTTGATATATACATTTCTATATGATTCATGTCTGAACTGGTCTAGTCCGATGTAATTTAGTTTGATATGTTTTCTAAAGTCTTTTTGTTTTCTTGTTAAAAATTCATACTAATCCAAATAAAATATATGTTGATCACCAATTGAATATTGATATCCATCCAATTTCTTTACTAGTCATTCAAAAAAAACATAACTCGACATCACCCATTCTCAACGTGACTCGAGAGCTGATATTTACTATAATCATCTTCATTCTTGAAAAAATAATTGATCACTGGTATAGCTAGCTAGAGGGGCGGGGGATTACAAAGGCCTAGTGTGGTGCCCTAAATTTGAAAAAATCTTGTATTTTATGTGAAAAATATTGTGTAACAGAATTAATAGATTTGAGAAAGAATCTTTAAATGTTCCCCTTAATATATTATCATGTACACCTATGCTTATGATTAGGCTATTACTATCTTATTATTCATTTGGAATTTTTCTTACGGGTTCCCCCACCGTTCCTTCCACCCGAAAAACTTTGTTCTTGAAGTGTAAAAATTCTTTCTTTCTTGTAAGCTATCGAAATGCCTCTTTGTTAGAGTCATACATTTTTGAAATGCACATGCTATTACTATCTTATTATTCATTTGGAATTTTTCTTTCATCATAATCTTTAAACCCCTTTATAGTAAAAAACAACTAAAAGGGAATATATTTTACCTTTTAAATTATTTGTTACTAAAACGGGAAGGGACTTCAATTTTCTAAAGGTGGAAACATGAATTTACCTATCTCGAAGATATATCTCCGGATGAAATGAAACCAAACAATGATCATCAAGACATCAACATTAGTGAAGCTAGATTAAACTATTCTTATGAGAAACCCTCTTAGAATGAGAATCCGTCTTAAAATGAAAATTTCTAATCTTCATCATTCATTTATACAGTCAACGATTAATATTAAAAATGTGGCATCTCTGTAAATTTTAATTGCAAAAAAATACTCATTTGAATTTAATGTAATTATGAATAGAACGAAGACATACATATCTTAAAAACATAAAACATGAAGTGATCCGGACGGTAACAATAATTAATAATGTGAAGACAAATATGTGATAATAATAAAACCTGAATATCAGGACGAAGATGATTATGCCACCTCTCTCTGCATTGTTTTCCTGCTCGACCAATCATTTTCGCTGCAATCACACTCCACTTCTTATCTCCTAACTCGCTTACCAATCTAACTAAAACCCTTCATTGCATTTCAAAAAACACAATTCAATTAAACCACATTCATTAATCTTGAAGAAATTAATAATTAATGATTAATTGGCATAAATAAATTATAGGTGTAGAAATTAAAAATTATATATATTATACAATGTATATAAGTAATTTAAATTCGAAAAAATTGAATTTTAAATTTGAACTTTTAGAAACAGTTGTTTGCGCTAGTGTGCGTATAATTACCCAAATCACTATTTTTTTTAAAGAACCCAAATCACTAATTAGAAACTAAACGTAATGTTTTATGTTCTTTTTATTGGATTACAAGTTTTATGCATAAGCAGTTTGGAAATAAATACATTTTTTTTAAAGTTTATGGTCGAAATGATAAATATATAATCGTTTTGACATTTTAGAAAATTATATTCTTGTATCTTTTGTGACTATTTAATTTTGATCGAATATAAATTTAAATCAAAACATACTTCACATAATAGATAACTTCTAGCACTTATGATCCGGACTTAGCGGATACATATACAAGCACCAAATGGGTGTGGATCTAAGATGATAATAGTAAGGTCACATAGCTTACACATATGAGTATAGATCTACTTTTTTCTTAAAGGGCAAGAGTCTGAACTTGTTATTTCTTACTTGGAATCTACTTAGTCACTAGGGCTTTTGAATTTAGTGAATTTCATCCTTATTGTAACCATATACGACCTCCGTTCTTAAATAAGTGCAACTTATTGAATTTTATATTATTCGATCACATATTCTGTTTTGACTACGTTTTATTTATTAATGTATTAATATTTATTTGAAAAGATATTGTTAGAATTGTCTCTTTGTAAACTTTTAAAATTTGATTTTTAAATTCTTTTTAGTTATAGAAAATCATATACGACATTAATGGTCTAAGTCGTGCATCAACAAATGTGAAAAGTTGACCGTTTATACATGTCTGTCTATAAACACACACATACACACATCATTATTTGTATACATAATCAACATCATACATTCATACTAATATGTCAATTTAAAATATATACAAACATGGGAATTATATATTATATAGTGATCTAAAAACTAAAAACAAATCTTTTAATTTAAAGCCTGAATCTTTGGGAATATAAATCTAAGACTAAACTCATGATGAATTTTAAAACTTTTTTTGTTAAATCATTCTTTAAAATTAATCTTCATTCATTAATAATGAATTTAGTAAAAATTTATGAGAATATAATTTTATAATCCATTTTTTGGATTCTTAAAGTACCTATAAAACTCTCTCTCTCTCTCTCTCTCTCTATATATATATATATATATATATATATATGTGTGTGTGTGTGTGTGTGTATGTTCGTATGTATGTATGTATGTATGTATGTATGTATGTATGTATGTATGTATAATTTGTGCATGTGTGTGACTTAGAAGATGATGGTGATCACCTATCTTCTTCTGCACTCCACGGACCCTTGATAAAGCCTACTCCTGGAAACACTTCATTTTCTCGGGAAATCATTCTGGATTCTCCCTGACTCCTTATCGCATTATAGTTTTCTTGATCACCCAATTGCAATTCATGGGGGAAGCCTTCCCGGCCGTCCCTTAAATTTACATTTGGGGGAGATAACATCCAAGAACCCCCGACAATGGCTACTCCAATATGGCTACTAGAAAATGACCGGAAACCGCTACCGCGACTATCCATCAAAGACTATTTTATTAATTGAAGTGGATCGAGTAGAGATTGATTTAGAAAAGTTGAGAGGCTTGTTTTTATATGCAGAGAAAGGAGTTTACGTAACGTTTATATTAATTACTCAATTAATTGACTGACTTATTCACACTAATAAAGATTGTTTGGACTAAATAGGACCGGTCGTCGTTGGACCGAAGGTGAAGATCACTAGAATCATGACACGTTTGCATAGTTAATTTCATGGTCGGATTTATGTAGGGGATGGGGTGGGCTCCTGCCCAGCCCTGCCCAACCCAAATGTTTTGATTAGTATATGAATAGGTGTAATGTCGAGTTCACCCCAAAATCATGTCCAACCCAGCACTAGCCTACTAGGCTACGAACATACTCGTACGTTTTTGTCTTATTTCACTTGCGGCCTCCCTACCAGCCAACTGCGAAGCACAAAGCGAAAGCCAGAAGGAGTTAACTCAGTAAAGCGATGAAGTTATGAGCACAGACACCCAGTCGTGCCGCCACCCTCTACCCAGGGCCTTGCATCAGTCGTTGTCCATTGGCGTCCCTCTGATCTGGAGTCCCGCACTCTAACTTGCAGCTCGTTGCGGCTCTGCCTCTTTATTCTCCCTGAGGCCGTCTGACCGCCTCTATCCGAGTCTAGTTGTCTAGTCGTTCACATATATTGTAGTTCTCTTTTAATCTATTTTTTGAAAGGAAAAAGCTTAAACTTTATTAACCAACAAACCAATAACAGAGCATCACCACACTAATAGAATCCATCTTACCCTTAGCTTTCCTATTATCAAAAACCCCCCTCATTCTCTGACCAGACATAAAAGGGTCAACCTTGTAAAGAGCAACACCCTTTGATGGACATGCGAGAGATTTGAAGTCGCTATCAGCACTATCAGTAGAAATACTTCTTGTCTCGTCTCCAAACCTCATTTTCTTCCCAAAAACCACCCTCAACCCAAACAAAGTATCTAAAAGGGAGAAGGGACAAAAAGGACACCAAGATTTTTAATGAATCTCGGATAGGACACTGAGTTTTAAGGTGGACCAAAAAAACACAAATTAAAACCTTTCCCTTAACTTTTAACCACCAACTAACTCCACCGTTAAACGCCCATTTCCCCAATTCCCCCTAACAACACTGCGCATAAGAAGACCCCCAAAAATATATCCAACAACCCTAGTTATGCAGACATATGTGTAGAGGAAACCATAGCAATGGGAGATAGGTCTTCACCATCAAGGTCTGCAGCGTTACAGAAATCATGCTCCATTGATTCAGGCCAGTGTGGAACGAATTTTGAGACGCAATACGGTGGGGGCGAGGTTTTGTAAATGTAGGAGGCGAAGTTGAATCCCTGTGAGAGCTCGCCTTTGGACTTAATGGACTGATAAGAATCCAGAGAGACAGTTTTATTGTTGCATGTATTATGAGGTATTTAATTTTTTTTAAAATGGTATCATTTATCCCATTGTGATGTTTTTCATATTCATGTCTACATAAGGATGGTTGTGGGTTCTTTGAATGGCATGATGAACCTCTGACAGATAGGGCCAAATATGTTATCAATGATCTAAAAACGGAGAATACAAGACTTGTCAGTACAATAATGGGACTGGAGGAGGCCATACGTGCAGGGGAGGCCATAAGTGTAGGTGGGGAGTTTGATGAAACACCAAATCCAAAATATGAGCATACCTTTAAACAAAACTTGGAATTTGAGGTTCAAGAGCTTAACCGTTTAGAGGTTGCAAACCATTTGGAGTTGGATAGAGGAGCAAAATTGAAGAGGAATTATGTGATTGTAGTGATGTTGTGTACCCATATTGTACTCACATGTATGAAATTAGGTTAATCATGCAAAAAGTATTATTTTGTAACCTTGAACACCTTTGGTTAACATTAGTGGTAATTGTTGGGTGTATTTCGTATCTTCTACTTTGATTATGCAAGTGTTGAGTGCCAAGGAATGTGTAACAAAACTGTATGAAACTACATTTTCAGTTGAGGTCTTATTCTGGTCAATAGAAGACCTGTTCTGTCAAAAAAATGCAGGTCAGAAAAATGCATGCATAACCTTGTATTGAACCACCACTTTTTGAGGTCTTTTTGAGGTTGTATTTAGGTCTTTTTTGAGGTCTTACACCAGACCTGTAAGCCTGCCACCAACTTCTATCAAAGTTACAATTTCAGTTTTATGAAAACTTACATGTCAAACATAGCAAGTGTAGTTACAATCTGAAAAAACAATTAAAAACCATAAACCAACATGCAAGTGTTGTTGATTACATACACGTTATCAATATCAAAACTCCGTAATAACAGCTTAATGGAAGGTAATCACACCAAATATATAAGAAGTCAAATAATTACTTGGCATCATTTCATGTAATATTACGAGTTGTTAAAGAGGTTACAAAATTCAAAATGTCATACAACCCCTAATTTAACACTCCAAAAAAGCCTATAATTTGGTCATCTTGACACAAGTACAAAAGTTAATGTTGTCATCTACTATACCCAAAAACTGACAGCTATAATAATATCCAAGTGGGCAAAAATATTTTAATTACAACATGTAACTCTTCGTTCAGCTTTGATGTCTTCCCCTTCCAAGCAATTAAAGTGGTGGTTCACCAACATCACCACGGCCAACAGATTCCATCCTCATAGCAGATCCCTTCCTCATTTGGCTGTTGTTTAACAATTGTCTTGTGCTGATTACTTTCTTTCCCTTCCATTTCAAACCAGGTTGTTCAAAGGGCAGGTTGGTAGGTTTTTTGACTTGAGCCCCATTAACCTTGAAACTTATTGTTCTATATGCAAGCACATCAGTATCCTTTTGAACTCTGCTAGCACTTCTAATTTCCTTCTCATTAGGAATTGGAAATCTTACATTAACATCACGGTCATGTGCCACCTCATGATTGAATTGAGAAAGCAATTGTTCACTATCCATCCCAGGTTGCATCCAAAAAATGAACAATTGGAACATGAGTCAGATAAAATAACACATCAACATAGTTCATATTCACACCAGAACTGCAGTTCCACTAAAACATGATGATTTTGAGGTATATGAAACTCACATTTATAGTCTTTGAACCAGTGTTAACATCAACATAGCACCCAAAGCCTATGACAGGTTGTTTACCTTTAGACCTGGCCATTCTTCTACATGCTGGTTTTGAC